CTGTCAAATGTGTCAAATTTGAAAGTTTTGGCGGAAGTTTTGAAAAACCGTAATGTTTCGCAAATTTTTCCTGTGTTGTGCTATGATCGCTTTTGTCAAGTGCGAGGAGGACCCCCTCGTGACCGACATAGTTTGGTTTGACATAACAATCGACAATGTGCCCATCGGTCGCATCCAAATCGGGCTTTTCGGCAAAATCGTCCCCAAAACAGTGGAAAACTTCAAACAATTGGCCAAAGAAAGTGTCGTCGGGAAGGGCTACAAAGGTTCCAAATTCCATCGTGTGGTCAAAAACTTCATGATCCAAGGTGGTGACATGGTTAAAGGCGACGGAACTGGGGGCCGTAGCATTTACAAAGTACCATTCCCAGACGAAAACTTCATTCTCAAACACTATGGAGCTGGATGGGTTTCGATGGCTAACGCTGGGAAAGACACCAACCTATCTCAGTTCTTTATTACTTCGAGAGGTGTTCCGGATTGGAATGGAGTACATGTCGTTTTTGGGAAAGTGATAGAAGGCATGGATGTTGTACACGAGATTGAAAATATCAAAACTGAGAAAGAGAAACCCACAAAAGACGCGGTAATCGCCGATGCGGGGACTATATCTCTAAATGAACCTTTCAGCGAAAGCAGGGACTCCAGTTTTTGCTAAATTATTCACCATTTCAAGTAAATTTAAATTTTGCAGTAGTGCCAACTAATTCACGTTTCATGGCCCACTTGAGACAACGTGAAAAAAATAAAATTTTCTCACTCAAAAAATGTATTTGTTGATAAAAATCACACAAAAGTTAAAACAAAACTGTTCCTGACGATTTTTCTTCTCTAAACAAAACGGTTTGGCTAGAAATCAACCAAATAGTATATTAAATTAGTGTCAAACTTGGTGTTTTTGCTTCGGTTAGTGTGGCATTAAAAAACCCAAACATAACCCCACTTATCTCGCAATATTAATATCGTTTGTGTTATAATTTGATGGTGCGTGCCCCCTTGTTGTCATCTCTCACCTCATTGACTCTTTCCAGGCGTCGGACGACTCCGCAATTGTGGTGCGTGCCAAGCCCGCACGCAAAGTCTTCGGGGCTAAGAAAATGACAAAAATCCCCCAATCGATCCTTCAGGATACGAAACTCAACGCTGCGATTGAATCCCTCCCCAAGAACTACAATTTCGAAGTGCATAAAACAATCTGGCGAATTCGTGAACTCCAAGCCCAAACAGTGGCTCTACAAATGCCCGAGGGGCTGTTGCTATTTGCGACAACCATCGCCGATATTATTAAAGAGTTCACGGGGGCTGATTCAGTGATAATGGGGGATGTCACGTATGGGGCTTGTTGCATAGATGATCTAACGGCTAAAGCCCTAGGAGTCGAATTGTTGGTGCACTATGGACACAGTTGTCTCATTCCCATTGATCAGACAAGTGGGATTAAAGTGTTGTATATTTTCGTTGATATTAAGATCGATCCGGGACATTTTATCGAAACTGTGAAACTAAATCTTCCAATTTCGGCGAAATTGGGACTTGTGAGTACGATTCAATTCGTTACGACTTTACAAACCGTTTCAGAGAAATTAAAAGAGGTGGGTTTTGATGTTTCAATACCCCAGTTTAAGCCTTTATCACCAGGGGAGATTTTGGGGTGCACAGCCCCCGTTTTACGCTGCTGTGACGTTATTATTTATCTAGGAGATGGAAGATTTCATCTCGAGGCTGCGATGATTGCTAACCCCAAATTGCAAGCCTACCGATACGATCCTTACGAAAAAAAATTCACCAAAGAATACTACCAACATGAATTGATGGAAAAAAATCGCAAAGATAGTGTGCTAAAAGCCAAAGAAGCACAATTATTTGGGGTCATTATGGGGACTTTAGGGCGACAAGGTAGCCCCAAAGTCGTCAATCATCTAAAACAACGGTTAGATGCTTCGGGGAAAAACTCAGTTGTGATTTTAATGTCTGAAATTTTCCCCCAAAAATTAGATTTATTCACTTGTGATGCTTTTGTTCAAATTGCATGTCCCCGACTTTCAATTGATTGGGGACTGTCTTTTTCTAAACCGTTTTTGACTCCGTACGAAATGTCGGTGGTTTTGGGGGACATCGAATGGGTTAAGGGGGCTCCTTACCCGATGGATTTCTACGCGAATGCCAGTCTCGGGCCTTGGACCCCCAATTACCAACCAGACGCTGTTAAATGTTGTGGAAAATGTTGAAAAATAAATTTCGATTTCGTTCGAGTTTTTCCGTTCGTTTTCGGTCCTCACCCCCGTTTTCCCATGTATTGATCGTTTTGCGAGGGTGAAACGGTGCAGTGTTCGCAATGCCCTCGTGAGTGCCCCTCTCGTCATGTCGTCGATTTCGGCCCAGGGGGTGGTGGAGCGCGCTTCGGCGGAGCTCTCCAAACGCATCAACGGCCTGGGCCTCCGCAGCAGCAAACACCACTCGTCGACCACCAAAGGGGGCAGCAGTGTGATGGAGCGCGTCACGAACGTGTTTTGCGGCGGGAGTGCGGCCGCTGT